CTGCGGGAGCTGAGCGGCTGGAGATGTGCCCTCTCTGCCTCTCCCTCTGCAGGTGTGCTTCATCGGCCGAAGCAATGTGGGGAAATCGTCTTTAATCCGGGCCTTGTTTTCACTGTCTCCAGAGGTGGAGGTCAGAGTGTCAAAAACTCCGGTGAGTGACGTTTTTAACTTCCCTCCCTCTTGGTCAGGACCTGGTGCCAGCCCAGAGTACAGGGCGAGAAGGGTGGGAGGGAACGAGCTCTGGGTTACGTGAAGCGCAGGAGAAGGTGCCAGCTGGGTTGGCTGGCACTGGCCTTGCTCTAGCACAGAAAGATCCCAACTTAGCTCTTCACCCAGGGCTGGCATGTGTGCCAGACAGAGGAGTCACACAACCTGAGCAGATGTGCTGTAAAGCCCTTTGAGAAGAACCAAGCTCAGAGACCCATGAAGGTGTTTTTAGTTTTATGGATAGAGCCATGTAGGACTGCTACAGGGATGGGAGACCAGGCAGCTTAAAGCAACAGTAGCATTTTGTTAGCCTTCTCTGAGGGGGCAGGGCATGGTACAGAGACATTCTTGGAGGACATCTCCTAGCACACTGCGTAAAGCAGCTTTTTAAAACCACCCCCTTTCTTCATCTTCTTTAAATCCTCTCCTCAGGGCCACACCAAGAAGATGAATTTCTTCAAAGTAGGGAAGTACTTCACTCTGGTGGATATGCCAGGGTATGGCTACCGTGCCCCGCAAGACTTCGTGGAGATGGTGGAGGCCTATCTTCAGGAACGGCGCAAGTAAGGGACCTAATTGTGCCTCCACAGCGCAGTGGAAGACACACATCTGTACACAGGGCCACATAGTCGGGTGAAAAAACGCAGAGGGGCAGCTGCTTCCAGTGCTGGTATTGATTAGTTCTGACATCATTTCCCTGGGAGCCTCTGGAGTGTCACTCATTCATGCTCAGACAAATCAAAACAGCAGAAAAGACTGAGGTGCTGCTCCATGCTGACCCTCAGCTGCCATACGTGGCTTTTCTTAGCTCTTCCTGTCCCCAGATTCCGTGTTACTTGTTTTTGCTTATGAATTTGGAAGTAGCAGGCATAGTGATTATTGTTGCTTGCATTTCTGGCAGCTTGAAGAGGACTTTTCTATTAGTTGATGGTGTAGTTGGACTCCAGAAAGCAGATCACACTGCAGTAGAGATGCTGGAAGAGTTTGGGATTCCTTATGTGGTAGGTAATGCTTCATTTTTGGTTTGGTTGTAAGCCACAGGTGGTCTATAAAGGTGTGTGCCCTCTACCTGAGCTTATGCAGTTTGTCCTACCTAAACAGTAACTCCATCCCCTTTATTGTCAATAAAATAGGCCTAAATTCTGTTGAGGAAGGCACGTGGGATTTAAGGGTTTTTTTCTCTGTTTATTAAATGGTTACTTTTTTTCCAGTGCTCAGCTTGAGAAGCTTGAAAAGGCCAACTCCTTGTGCAGGCTATAGAAGTGTTTTGCTGAACTGTATTAGACCACTTTTTCCCCCCTAGATATGACCTAGAGCTTTCAGTCTGCCTTGCAAGATGGTCCAGGATTCTTACAGATGTTCCAGGCTAGGAGCAAAATAATCTTGTTTTCCTCTTTCAATCCTCCCTTTCCGGATCCATGCAGATGGTGTTAACAAAAATTGACCGAGCTTCCAGGGGACTCTTGTTAAAGAACGTACTGGGGATCCAGGAGTTTATAAAGGAGAACACTCAGGGATGCTTTCCTCAGCTGTTCCTGGTCAGGTAAAGCTCTTCTCCACTGCTGCTCTTTCCTTTCAGGAGATTAATTCAGTAGGACAAACTACCTGAAATGGGTCTATCTGCTCTAGAGGTAGCAGCTCTCCATGCCCCAAGGATGGAGGGTGGGCTGCTGATGGGGAAACATCCCTTAGCTTCTTCTCCCTCCTCTGCAAGTGAGTGGAGTTATTTTCAAGGCTGCCTCTTCCTTTTCCTGAGGAGGGGCATGCTAGTGGACTTTGCAGTTCCATTTGGAGTTTTGGTCACAGTAGCAAGCTGTAATTGTTGGATTATGTAGTGGAAATGCAGGCTCTCACCAACGGGTACTGCGCCATGGGAGATGTAATTGAACACAGCCAGTGGCTGCTTGTGTTGCTCCATGACACTGCAATATCTGGCACTGAACATCCACGCCTCTGTTTCCACAGTTCTGTGGAGTTTTCAGGGGTTCACTTGCTAAGGTGTTTTGTCGCCCACGTTACTGGAAACCTGCCTGCTGTAGAGACCAGCTGAAAAGACTGACTCCTAATCTGTTCAGCTCATCTGGAACAGAAGGTACCAAAACCAGAGGTCTGGGTTTTATGTTGTAAATAACCTGAGGGACTAGAAGGGGGTTTTTTGATAAATTAATATTTGTAAAGCTAAGACTTTGCTTTATGAAGTTCATCAATTCAGGAACCTACCACTGCATGTCTAAGCTCTGCTGTATTTAGACTAATAGAGATAGTCTACTAATAGTATTGTAGAGGCCTTTAGTTTAGAAAACAAAAAAAACCCATAATCCTAGCATTAAGCAAACTGTACTTGCCCAGATGAACTGAAACCACAGAGGTTTACTTCTCTGAGCTAGGGCTAAGGTAGCAGGGGCCAAAAAGTACCACTTGTACAACCTGCCAGCTAAGGCCACCTAGAGTGGAAATAGGCAACATGTTATCGGTGAAGGTGTGTTTTAACTTCTAGTCCGCCCTGCGACACCTCTTCTTCCTTCTTGGCACAGCGACAGGCTTCCTCCTGGCTGAGTTCTTACAGCCATCCTGCCCAGCCAGTAGAAGAGCCCGAACAGCACAAGGATCACATCAGCCACGGCCCAGAACCCCCAGTGCTGGCAGGCCTGGAGCAGCACACTGAGCCAGGTGGTGCCAGGCACCTGCTGATAGATGAGGAGCAACACAGTCTGATTGGAACTGTAGAACAGACTGCCATACCCATACTCTATGCAAACTGTTCCAGTGTTTGGCCAGCCTCACAGGGATCTTCAATTTTTTTTTCCTTCTGCTTTAAAAGAATCTCTGTTTTGGCAGTTTTGTCTGCTCCCTCCCCTTTCACATGATATCTGCGTCCTTCTGTCATCCTGGGAAGTACTTATACATATTGATAACATCCCCCCAGGCATTCTCTTTTCCAGGCTGAACAATGTCAGGTGCTCCAAACCCTTAAGAACCCTGAGCCCCTTTGCTAGACTCAAG